ACAGACATTTTGACGATAAAACTTAATTTTTATCAACTTTAGGGCTTTTTTACATCATGGCATGCTCTTTTTTCAACAATGTTTTGGAGTTACCTAGTTGTGCAAGTTTTAGATTTCTCTGGTATTTCATCCATTAAAGTTTAGTTTAAAACTAAGACAGTTTTTGTGTAGGTATGTTCAAAACTTCACTAAAAAAAAGTATATCCTGATGAAAAAAGGTCCCAAATTTGATTAAACAATTTTTTCATTGTCTAAATGTTTATGTTATTATTAAGAGGAAAGACCAAAGTATTTTTTTTGAATATTTTTAAAACTTTTCTAATCCTTTCTAGCATGTCCAAAATTTTAGCTAAAAATCTTTTTTTTTGAGCCATCAAAATTGATGTAAAATCAATCATGCCAGCCACTATTGACAGTTTTGTAAACAAAAGTGAAATTCTCTATTTAAAGATCATGTAAAATTCAATTATACTTTTTTCAAAAGTTATTTTAGAAAAATTAGAAAATTTAAAGTGTACTTAATGTAATTTGAAACAAACACTTTTTTTAATAGAAAAAATTTCGTTGGAAATAACAGAAGGATGTTTAACAGTGGTGATTGGTTTTGGAGGTGTGAATTCACATCTACATCAATGTATTGATGACTAACAATAGGGTAATTTATCAGACAGAAGGGCAGAAGTGACAATATCTTTAATTTTTAAGTAAACCAGCTTTTTTAACTATAAAGTAATTCTTAAAAATTAAATACTTTCAAAAGTCTAGTATTTTGTTGATTTCTTTTAGGTACTTTTTTTTTTTAATGAAGATATGTTAAAAGACTGCACTGTTTCTGTCCCTAAAATCAAATTGAATTATTGCAGTATATCTTTCACCGAAAAAGAAAATTATATTTTAAAAAAAATGAAATGAAATTATTTAGTGAAATATGTATATAAAAAAAAAAATTGAAAACTTTGAAAATGCAACGATTATGGTCGGTTAATCAGAGAATTTGATATGCTAACAACTCAAGCACACGCAACATTATTTCAGAATTGTGCTTCTGTAGTGCTTCTACCACTCGTCCCTTCAGCCCCTCAACCTCTGGCATCTTCTTCTTTAGAGCATTTTGACTGGTCATATGGCCAAGTTCGCCTGCTACCCATGTTGTATTAGTTTTTAGATCCAGTAAGCGGGGTGTTGTCCATATGTTCCTTTCATGGACATTGGGGATATACACACGGCTGTTTTAATTGGGCGGCAGGAAAATTAGAATGTGGCAAACAAGGAAATAATATCTGCAGAAGCCGGACAACAACTTTTATAAAAATATTGATGTCTTTTATATAAGAAAACAACAACAGTAGAAAGATTTTACAGAAAGGATAGAAAAGCAATTAACACAAGAACAGAGGACCACTCCTCTACCAATTATACCAACAGAGAGGTGTGTGTGTGATTAACTCGTTCCAAATCAACTTGGGAGGATATGTGACTCGTAATTCCAGCCCTACGTGGAAGTGTAGCTTTTCAGTTGGTTAAATAAGTGACAAACGTTAAGTTTCAGCGACTTTTCAATGCAACTGCTACAACCACAATATTTCTTGAAGCCCTTATCTCTGACTCGCCACTGGACCGACTCACTGCAACGACAGTCTCTCTCTCAACGTCACTCTCGTCTAACACCCAAGTCTCCCCAACTCAGCAAAACTCGCGTTTATATAGCAAACCGAAGGTTATAAACCAGGTTGTTCACGTGCTTAACACTAGTGTTGCCATAAGCAAAGTTTAAATTCAGATCTATTTCAAATCTCTTAGTGGATAAAATTAATAAGTTCAATATTCATTTCAATTGTCTTTTCGATGACCAAATTCAGCAGATACAACTTATGTTTAGATCAGATTTCGCTAGCGGTAAACATACACTGATCTTACCTCCCCGGTCCAATTTACTTAAATGTTTTTTATCATAAATATTATTTTTGTCTATTTTTTTTTTTTTAATGACCCAAATTAAACATCGCCTCCTGCCCTTTTGCATTTGTTTATAAACAAGTCCTCACCAACCCGATTTGAAATTTATTCTTTATCCATCAGCCGTCTCAGGTTTCATATATCATTGTTCTAGATTCTTTCCTATTAATAGTGCTGACACAGTTTGTAACTTTCACAGAATATCGTGTTTTCCATCTTCAATCAATAAACGTTATATTTGCGTGTGTGCATGCATGTGTGTCAACCTCTCTCTGTTACAGTTTTGTCAGAGACGATTTTAATACATCTTTTGGCATATTAAAAAATTGTTGTAAAAATACATCATTTTGCAGATTGTAATAAGCTTTCAAATTTATGATCTGTAAAAAGATATTTTAATTAAGAGCATTTTCTGAGGCATATTGCTTCAAATTTAATTTTAAAATATTTAACAACTTTATCACATTTGGCATTTAAATTTAGAAAAAAAAAAAAAAAAATTCTTGTAAAAATTAATTTTTCATCGGAAAAATATTTTGGCTTCAGATAAAAATATCCTTAATGTATTATTCAGAAAAGCCATTAAAAGCTTTTTTAATTGAATAATTACTTAGTTTTATTGGGTTTTATATTTTACAATTCAGAGCTAAAGTTTGTATAGAACTAGTCACCGATTTACAAACAAAAAAAATAAATAAATAAAAAAAAAATCGATGGTTTATATTCTTCAAAGTTTTCTGCATTCAAGAACAAAAAAATACAGCCAGTTACAGATTTGGGATTTTCAAATTTTCAGAAGGGTAACAAATGTAAAAAAAAAAAAAAAATATTACCATGAGTTTCTAAAAAACAAACGTTTCTAAAATAATTTCATACATTTTTTAATAAATTCTGAAAGTTTCGTTAAAATCCGACAATTATTTGATTTTTGCAAGAATTTCCAAATTAATGTTTTTCAACTGAAAAAAAGCGAAAGAAAAAAAAGCCAAAACAGGACCGCTGACGTACACACAACCCCAAAAAAAAAAAAAAAAAAAACAGATTTTCAACCAAAATTTCAAACGTGATGGAAAAGAATAAAAAATTTTTAAAAATAATTAAAATAAACTTTCGTCTTTCCTCTTATTAATAACAAACTTTTTCACGATAAAACTTTATTTTCGTTAAGTTTAAATAGGCTTTTCTTTTTTTTTATCATGCTGTTTTTCGGCAAATTATTGAACAGCCATGATGAGGTTTGAAGTTGTCTTTCACAAAATTTTCAAAACTCATGGTTCGTCCACCAAATAGATGAGCCTCCTTTTTATCTTTTAAGGTTTAAGATGAGACTATTTTGGCATGTGTAAAAAAAAGGGAGACTCAACTTGTGGCTTAATTAATTTGAAAAACACTATAGAATCGACAACTTTGAAATCGATGTTCGTCATTGAATTTAGTGATACAGTGTAACCCGGATATAAGAGAGTTGGCGGGACCGGAGAAGAAGTCTCTTATATCCAGGTTTGGTCTATACATTAACACAGGCTCTAATTTGGGACCAGAGAAAATCTCTCTTATATCCGGGTTACACTGTATATATAATACTTAGTGCAACCCGGATATAAGAGAGTTGTCGGGACCGGAGAAGAATTCTCTTATATCCGGGTTTGGTCTATTTTATATACATTCACACTCACAGGCTCTAATTTGGGACCAGAGAAAATCTCTCTTATATCCGGGTTACACTGTATATATAATACTTATATATATATATCAACCCGGATATAAAGAGAGCTTTGGGACAGAAATCAATCTCTTATCTCTTATATCCGGGTTAAAATTTTATGTACATTAACACAGGCTCTAATTTGGGACCGTAGAAAATCTCTTTTATATCCGGGTTACACTGTATATTTTTTTGTTTTATGTTACAATTCAGAGCTGATTTTCAGGTAGGAGGGATCTAATTAAAAAAAAAAATGATTTGTTTTCCTCAAAGCCTTGTGCTTTTAACTCATCAGTAAACTGAACAATGTAGAATTTCTAGAATTTTCATATAATTAGTAAAGTTTATGTAAAAAAAAAAAATTTGTCATGAAAAGTCACGGCAAAAATATAAAAAAGAAAACATATTTATAATAATTTCCATCATTTGTGAATAGTTTCTGAAAGTTTCATTAACATCCGACAATTATTTTTATTTTTGCAACATTTTCCAAATTAATGTCTGTTAGTAGTGTTATATATATATATATATAACAAAATTTTAGCACTTTTTATATTAACAAAATTTTAGCACTTTTTATATTATATATATATATATAAATATATATATAAAACAAAATTTTAGCACTTTTTATATACATAATATAAAAAGTGCTAAAATTTTGTTTTCCGCTGATACAAAGAGAAACAAGGTTGGGTTTTTTTTTGTTTTTTTTAATCAAAATTTAGAATGTTCTAAAATCTAAATAAAGGAAATTTTTTTTAGAAATAATTAAAAGAAATTCTTTGGTCTTTCCTCTTAATAAAAACAAACATTTTGTTTGACGATAAAATTTTGTTTTCGTCAAGTTTGGCATCTTTTTCATAATGCTATCTATATGTTATTTTTTTTTTTTTTTTAGCGATTTCGTAGAGGTACCTATTTTAATTTAAGAAGACGTGGAATAAAAACTAATCATCAGACACAAGAATTGTTTCTTTAGAAAGAGAAAAGATTAAATTTTCTTTACATAGTAATTTTAACAAAATGGTCTAAAAAAAAATTTAAAAAATCCAAGGAGATATCGACAGTTTTAAAATGGAAAGAAATTTCTCTACCTCTTCCCGTGTTCGCGCCACAAGACAGTCATTCGTAAGAGATTAATGAAAATGTCATAAAATTATCGTTTGTCTTCCAAAAAAAATCACCAAATTCTAAACAATCTTTTTTTTAACGATAAGAATTGTCAGTTTTTATCAGAATCGTCAATTCAATCCTTTGCTGACAAAGAAATGAAAAAAAAAAAGAAAATGATTATTGCTCATCAAATTTGTAAATCAAAAGAGAAACATTTACTTACTTCTTTCCGTTTGTTTTCGTCCAGTTGTTCTTCTTTGAGCCAAAATGAGGAACTCCAGAACTGAGTTCAATTTTCTTGAGAACGAAGCAATACAAGAAGAAAATGTTTTATGAAGAGCGAAATTCAAGGGAGATAATTCAGGAAAAAACAAATGTTTTTTTTAATTATTTTTTTTATTCTGATGACATCCAGAAGAAGAAAAAAAAACAGTTTGAATCCTTCAGTAGTAAAAGTGTCAGCAAATTAATCCCACTGGGTCCTCCGCACTTTTGGCCTTGTGCCTAACTTATGTACATTTAAAGTGCAAATGTCCTGTGCATGAGTCCTGGTAAAACCCTGAATTCAAATGATATTTTTAGAGAGAAAAAAAGCAATTTAAATTTGTAAAATTGTTGTCTAACCACTTTCGCTCAGTCAGTCGGTCTGAGTTCAGTCTGAAGTCGGACGACCGGTTGAACTCTCTGCCTTCAGGCGGGGAGGAACCCGAACGAGGCTACGCCGAAGGGCGGAGTCTCTTTCGGGGAGTTAAACCGACCCTGAACCCGTTTATACGGGTTCAAAGGACATATTTTTGGCCGAGCCCACGGGCTCAAAGATCCCACGTTAAACCGGCCTTGTGCCACATGATGCCCACGTGTGGCGGGGGTGACTAAATACCGTCTAACCACTTTCGCCCCAGCCCCTCAACCTCCGACGTCTTACTCTCTGGGTTGAGGTGTCTACTCGGTCTTAACCGAACTTAAGGGAGTGGCCGTAGGTCCCCTGAGCATCCGTAGATTATTCGACCGGTCAACTGATTTAATTCTGCTTCCTGCCTACATTGTGTTTGGTTTGATCCAGAAAGCAGAAGTGATGTTCATCCATTCACGGTCGACTGGAAATGTAGACACAGCTGGAGAGTCTGTGCTAAGAAATTTAGAATGTACTGTTATAGACAAGCGTATAGTTGCAAGAAAGAAATACGACAACAGCAGAAATAGATTTACGTGGTTTATTTCAACAGGAATGTGTGGGTTTGGGACAGCTACCTTGTGGTAAAGTTCATAAGCCGGCTTTCGGATCTAGGTCGATCTCTCATAGTAGTTCACACATGTTAACGGTAGTTGATGCTCTCCTGCCGTCAGCTGCTGACCGCTCGGCCTGGCCACCTGTTGACGATATTCAGTCACCCCTCCCCCACGAGGGTGTCATGTGGCACAAGGCCAGTTTAACGTGGGCATTCCGAGCCCGTGGGATCGGCCAAAAATATGCCCATTGAACCCGTATAAACGGGTTCAGGGTCGGTTTTACCTTTCCAAAAGAGACTCCGCCCTTCGGCGTAGCCTCCTTCGGGTTCCTCTCCGCCCGAAAGCAGAGAATTCAACCGATCATCTGGTTCAGAAATGAACTACTGACTGACCACCTGTTGAACTTCCGTGTGACCCCTTTTATAGCGTTTTTTTTTTTTATGGCTTAACAGACTCGAAAAACGAAGCGAGTATAATTAGGAGGGAAGCATTTTTATTGGACGAAAAATAGAACACTTTAAATATTATTTTATTTTTCGACCGGAACTCGTGTGTCGGAAACATTTGTAAATGAAGATAATGGTCATTTTGTGACGGGGCTTTGTCCCGTTCACATCCGGCTCTCGCTCTTGAGTATTTTCCTGTAAATCAGCCGAGATATGTTTTATCTCTTGTTATAACAGTACCAAATGTGGGTTATAATTTTTAGCTTGTGAAATCGTCTCAGGACGATATGCGACTCTTGATTATTGTAACTTGTTCGACGTTTCCGTTTCCAGTGGTAGTAATAATAATAGCAGTAGTAGTCTTAGACGTTGGAGGAGTAATTCGCTTCTTCGTATGTATATCAATAAAATATGTAAGCGGGCGCCTGGCTCCAACCTCTGACGTCATTCCCAATCTCCGACCTCTCTCTCTCCAGCCAAACCACTCTCTCAACAGATTTCTGTGCGCGTTTATATAGATAAGCTGATCACAAATCGACCCTTGGTCCTCACCCGTTATCACGAGTGTCGCTGTCAACCCCCAAAACCATGTGAGTTTCAAAGTTCTCATAGACTGAATAAGTTCTATTTCAAATTTTAACCGATACTAGCAGGAGAGCCCGGCGTTGCCCGGGAATCTAACAGTAAGAGATAGATCAAGTATCGACCAACATAAAGACTGAAAAATAAAATTGACAAAGATTATTGTTTAAGGTTGACGGACACGCAAGTCTTACTCTTAATTAGTTTTTTTTTTTTTTTTTTTTTACGAATTGGTCAAACCCAAACTCAAACAAAAACATTGTTTTCAATCGTTATGAGTCTCTACCGATTGAATAGAATTTTATTATAAACAATTGTCATGTAAATGGAATTTTTAAAGCATTCTGAATGTAAAAATAAAGAAGAAAGTGTGCAAGACAATAAGAAACACTACCTGCCAAAAAAAAAAGTGAAGTTTTGTTGAAATCGGTTGAAAAATGTAGGAAATCCGTTCCATATATATAACAACACACACAACACACACACACACACACACACACACACACACACAAACAAACAACCTACAAACAAACAATGAGTGTCCCCCTTTAAAATTAACTCTGATGTGAGTTGTCCCCCTTTCATTAATCGTGTTTTCAAATTGATTTCGTGCAAAAACAATTGTGTTTTTTCCAATTTTTGGCGCTGTCAGAACCACCGCAAGGTAATTTTACGCAGTCCTGTGGAGTTTTGTTGAAATCGGTTGAAAAATGTAGAAAATCCGATCCAATATATAAACGTACAGACACACACACACACACAACCTGGGTTTTATAATAAGTATGAAAAGTTATTTCGATCATCTCTCATTGTTTTTGTAATGACCCAATTCCAAATGGGTGAGACCTGATTTCTATCAGTAAACAAAATTTATTCTGATCTAATTTCGCTGTTCAAATCTACTCCGATTACAAAAAAAAAAAAAAAAAATATGTGTGTTTGTGTGTTTCCCAAACTCTCTCTGTCACAGTTGCAACTAAGCTTGGCCTATATGCAGTAGAATATTTGGACTCAACTGAATGATGAGTTCGAACCTCACTGGGTGCCCCATATTTTTTACTTATGTCACAACTAAGCTATGCTTAGCAAACCATTTGGGGCACATTTCTTTGTTAGAAAGCTTGTCTTGCTGGATCAGTTACAACTGAAGAGTGTGTTTGATCCTCACTGGGTGTCTCATAATTTCAAGTAAACAGTTTTGCATTCGTGCTGTGATGAGGACCAACTCAAAGAGTGTTAGTTTGAGTGTCATGGTCAATCTGAAAAGTGACCTGGTCAAGTTTAATACGAAGAGAAATTGTAACATTCTTATAGTCCCTAATCAATTGAAGAAGATGCAAAACAAAGGAGAAATATCCCAGAGCAAAACGTCAACCCAATAAAGATGCAGCCCAGCTGAAGAAATGGTAAGCAGCAGATCAAGGTCAAAAGACACCTTGGTGAAAAAAAAATCAGTCCAATATTTCCTATCTAAGGTGTGATATACACCTAAAGGCCAGTGGGGAGACATATTTAATTACCTTCATTTGACAGGTGAAAAGTCAACACTGTTCTGTTATGAATGTGATTGGAGAGTTCACGTGAAATCAGAACGTCCTCAGTTACAAGAATATTGGTGGAATGGTCTCTTTGGGATAGATTCCATAGGCCACTGTTTGGAAGCTATAAGAGTAAAAACAAGCCCACAGATGGTAGGTGTGTCATCTCGGCGAGGGTTTACGTCCAAATAATTCTGAATTGGTAAAACCAAGAAACAGAAAATGCAGGTGTGAACATACTGGAAGGCAGTCCACAGCTAAAAAAACGGAAAGGAAAGTGTTCTAAGGGTATGGCAATGTGTATTGAGGCTGTAAAAAGACCTAACCAATTGCTCTCCCAACAACTATGAGGGTAAAAAGGAGAGGAGAAAGAGATGGGAAAAACAAAAATGACACTGCCTCAGAAACCATAGTAACTTAAGAAACAAAACTACCAATGGGACGAACATCACTTGCTGGTTTCCCCGCTGCTCTTATTGAAATGAGGCATTTTACAAAGATGCAGATCTTGACCAGTTGCAGAGAGGCCTGTATCTAGACATACCAAACTGTCCCGCTGCTAATGAGAAAACCCCAGATATAACTGGCGTTGCTAAAAATGTCCCCATAAGATCAGAGGCCTTTTTTTTTCATCTTTACTGACATGAATTCACCACAGAAAGGGGAAGGAAACATCATGATGAGGATTGATTTGTTTTTTAGTATTATCAACCTTTTTCCGGTTATTTAAAGCCAGAAACTTCTTTTGGGTTGTAAGAATTTGGGAAGATAATTATAATTACTGCTACATGACTTGCTAGGGGATAATTAGTGAATTCATGCCTTTGCCAAGGGTCAGTAGCACAAGAAAAGTTTTTAGCCAGGAGAAAAAACAAAATCCAATTTCAATAATAAATAATGACACTGCCTCAGAAACCATAGTAACTTGAGAAACAAAACTATAAATGGGACCAACATCACTTGCTGGTTCCCCGCTGCTCTTATTGAAATGAGGCATTTTACAAAGATGCAGATCTTGACCAGTTGCAGAGGAGGCCTGTATCTAGACATACCAAACTGTCTCGCTGCTAATGAGAAACGCCCAGATATAACTGGTGTTGCTAAAAATGTCCCCATAAGATCAGATGCCTTTTTTTTTGCATCTTTACTGACATACATTCACCACAAAAAGAGGAAGGAAACATCATGATGAGGATTGATTTATTTAACATTGTTCTGTTATAAATGTGATTGGAGAGTTCATGTGAAATCAGGTTGTCTTCAGCTATAAGAATATTAGTGGAATAGTCAGTGCGGACAGATTGTGCAAGCCAGAGCTTGGCAGTTATAAGCTAGTTTGTTAGCAGAGTAAAACAGGCCCATAGTCAGTAGGTGTGTCCTCTGAGGGAGGGTTTGCTTCCCCAAAATTCTGAATTGACAAATGTAGAAGTCAAGTGACTTACCTGCCAACATGGCTGCCTTCTTCTGTTTCCTGATTTTACCTCATTTTATAGGAGAGTGCCTAATACACCAGTTAGGTTGGTCCATTTTGCTAGAATGGACCTGCCCAATACATTTTCATGAGTGGTCTTTATTCACCCATATATTTCTCCATGAAATGACTCATGTCAGTTTTAGCTTTGGCTACACTTGCCTATTTTTGTGTCAGACCACTGGCAAGCTAACCAATATTATACAGCAAAATTGAGATACAGCAAATGTAGGTGTTAACATACTGGAAAGCAGTCCATGTTTAAAGAAACTGCCAGGGGAAGTGTTGTAAGGTACAGCAAGAGTGTGTTGAGGCCGAGGGAAACATCTGACCATTTGTTCTCCCAACAACTATGGGCGTAATAGGAGGAGAGGAGAAAGAGACTGCAACCAACAAAAATGGCACTGCCTCGGAAACCACAGCAACTTAAGAAATATAAATGCTCATGGGACTAATTTCACAAGATATCTTCTTTTGCCAACTGCTGGTTTTCCTCCTTTTGTTAGCATGAAGCATCTTACAAAGACCTAAATGTTAAACATTTGCAGAGAGGCCCGTATCTACAGGGGGGGGGGCGACACTATATTTGGGACACTTTGAAAAGTGTGCTTAAAGGTGTTTTTTTTTTGTTGCCGAGAGCTTTTGTGTTGATGAGTATGTAGTTCAGCAGTAACTGTCCATTAATGGTATTGTCGGGGTTACCTCCTCCTTCTATCCTTGAACCGGCAGAGGAACAGGTCATTTCGACCTTGACCTCTCATTCATGCTCCTTACACACTGTTAACACGTCGGAGGGACTAGCAAATCCCCTTTTTAGTTAGGTCATATTACAAACCCAGTTGTAATATACTACTAGTCATTTTTAGACCTTAGTTCTCTTTAGCTAACCTCGTAGTATTTTATTATAGAGACTTTTCGGTTAGCTTAGCCAATTTTTCTTGCTGGTCTCCCTTGTCACAAGACAGTGATTTCTCGCTAGATTCTAGGAGGCGGTCGGCGACCGAAACGGTCGGCTACGCAGGCTCCTTGGCCTTCATTGGCCAAGGACGCCGATCATCGGGCTGTGTATTAAGTTACGATCCCATTTTTTTTTTGTCTGCCAACTTGACGATAGTTGGGAACTTTCTTTCTCTCTCTCTCTCTCTCTCTCTCTCTCAACACGTCAAGTTGGCATCCCGGCAATGACAAACAACAAGTTGGCAACACAAACTACAGCAACAAGTTGGCACCCCGGCAACGACTCAGCTTCAACAACCAACAACGATCATCCTGGCATCAACCAACATCAACTTCAACAACCACCAAGCGATCATCCTGGCAACAACCCACGACCTGCTTCAACCCCCAACAACGATGATCCTAGCAACTACCAACACCAACCTCAACCATCAATGCCTGCACTAAAACTTCTGCATCTCCACCATTCCGACCATCTTTATTTCCTTTTTCTTTCCCTGAATAAATTAGCATTTATCATACATATCCTCGTTCTGTCGTCTATATTGTTTCACCGTCAGATTTAACGTCTTCAAAAATGTCAGCGGGCCTCTTGTGACCTCGTTCACCCCTTTCTGTGATACGGGGCCGCACGGAGTACCTTTTACAGTATGAACATTGATTGATTTTTTGTCTTTTTTTTCATCTTTTTTTTTTGTTTTTACTTTAACTTAGGCGACACTATTTTTCGAACACAAATTTTTGACACAAATTCCGGGTTTTTTAACGATTTAGTCGTCGAACGTCTACAATATGCAAATTTTCTGCAGGTAAATTGTACCCTTGTCGCAGTGAGTCCAACCACCACTCCTACCTTTTCGTAAACAACCCCGGATATGCCTGCCGGTAGAGAAAGGTCACGACCCTTGTGTGCTAAAAATAGCAACGACATCCTTTCGAACTGACAGAAACCCACAAAACTCAATTTTCGCCACTAAACAAAAATAAAAGACAGTCAACAAACACCGAACACACTTTTGACTGTAATTAATACGGCCCGAAATTAATTATCTTCATTTACTTGTTTAGCGTCACCGCTTCTCTTGTATGAACCGTCATATCTAGATGCCCGAGACTTCGCAGCGGTTTTTAGGCGGCCACGCCGCAGCCCGGCCTTCGGGCTAAGTTGCGACCATAGCAAAGTCTAGTTTGGACCGTATCAGGACCTAATAAAACAAACCAAGACCAACGTGGACCAGAACCTGACTAAGCTTTGACCAGCTTGGACGAATATATGACCAATCTTTGACCAGTGAGTTATGCGGAAACGCTCGGGTTTCCCAAAAAAACGAACTTGTGTCACATCTTGACCCCGTAATTTAAGTAAATACCGCCGGCCAGGCCGCAGGCCGGCCTTCGGGTTGGGTTGCGACCATGGCAAAGTCTAGTTTGGACCATATCAGGACCTGCTAAGACAAGCCAAGACCAACTTGGACCAGAACCTGACTAAGCTTTGACCAGCTTGGACATGTTATGACCAAAATTTGGACTAAAACTTGACTAAGTTTGGATCAGCTTGGACATGTTATGACCAATCTTTGACCAGTGACCCTATGCGGAAACGCTCGGGTTTCCCACGAAAAACGATCATGTGTCACTTCTTGACCCCGTGGGAGTCAAGTAACCCCACGAAAAACGACCTTGTGTCACACCTTGACGTCGTGGGAGTCAAGTAAATATCGCCGGCCAGGGAGCCTTCCTGAATCGCGACTTTGACACGCCAGTCAAGTCGACCGAGCCCAGCAGCAGCTGACGGGACCCAGCAGCAGTAGCAGCAGTTGTTCAAACAGTCCTTTTCAGGGCTAACTTCCGAAAGTCATTCGATCACCACTCTTCAAGGCTCCACTCACTTCATCTCTGAAAGCCTTCCCTCTGAGACGCCAGCTCACTCCTGCAGCTTCCAGCAGTCTCCAGCTCACGCCTGCAGCTTCCTGCTCACTCCATTAGTTTCCAGCTCACTCCTGCAGCTACCAGCAGTTTCCATCTCACTCCAGCAGTCTCCAGCTCACTCCTGCAGCGCTTTACTGACGTCCCGCTACCTATTCCAGCACCCGCTGACGCCTGACGATCTAATCCTGTGCCCACCGACGTCCAACGACCTGATCCAGCGCCCGTTAACGTCCGGATACCGTTCCCGAACAAACGACCTCGTCTTACCATCCACTATTCGCAAATAAAGACACAATTTCCATCGTCTACAACGGACCATCTGCGTTTGTCATCCTTCTTTGCTATTGCCATCTCCTTGCCTTTGTGTCCACCTTTTTTAGTTGTACGGTCGATTGGCACTCACACCTCTCGACCCACTGCAACACCCTGACCATTACATTTAAGTATCTTTACCATTCACTGTGAAAACGTATTAAAATCCTGAAGAATGCATTCAAAACAAGTCATTAGTTTGGTCCAAAAGAAGAGAGAAGACGGGCTCAGCATCCGAAAGATCGCCGCTGAGATGAAGCTACCGAAGTCAACAGTTCAGTACAGACTATGAGCAGAAGAGAGGACGGAAAAAAAACAATTTCCAAGAGAACAGAAAGAAGAATGAAGAGGAGTGTTACGAGGTTGTTATCATCTTGAGAAAAGGTGACAGCGAAGAAAGTAAAGGAGAAGTGTGAACTTGACGTCAGTGTTCGAACTGTACAAAGAAAGATACACGAAATTGGACTTAAGTATGTTAAAATCAAGAAAAGAATTACACTAACAAAAGAAAACACAAGGAGGCAAGTTTAGGGAAGCGGAAAAGATGGATAACAAACCATGTCGATTGAAAGAAAGTGATATTTACTGATGAAAAAACATTTTAAGTTTGATGGACCTGACGGGTGGTGTACATGGTCGAGAAAAGTTGAACCTGTTATTCTCAACAAGAGACAGATGGGAGGAGGAGGAGTCATGGTTTGGGGTATGGTATTTACGAATGGAAACTTGTGGCTCGAGTGGTTAAAAGGACGTCAAAATAGCTTGAGCTACAGAGAACAGACAAAAAAGAGAGCCCTACCACTCATAGAAAAGAAATGGGAATTAATTTGTTTTTTTGCAGCAAGATAACTGCAGCATCCATGTGGCCAAATCAGTGAAAAATTGGATGTATGAAGCAAATATAACTACTCTGGAATGGCCTGCAAGAAGTCCAGACTTAAATTTAATTGAAAACATATGGGAAATGGGGGTTTTTTTTTGGAATTATTAACATTATGATATATATATATATATATATATATATATATTAAATAATATAGACAAGTTTTTGTCTATTTATTTTAAATAAGTTCCTTTCATATTGTCTGATAAGCTTAATAACATTATCATTGAAAGACGAAAGGAAATCACCATATATTCGGCTTACATAAGCCATTATTAAAGATGACAATTAAATTTCAATATATCAAACAATACACAAATGAAACAATAATGATAGTCTGTTTTTGTTGCATGAAAAATTTCAAAGCAATGACTAACTCATGTACACGAGACACGGAAGTGAAATTCACTCATGACATCACACATGACAGAAGCCATTGGTTTATACCAACGGCTTCCCATACTTAATAGTTCTCGTTTTCACTTTTTTTTTTCTTTTCTGCCCCAGTTCACAAACGATTCGAGGTCCTTTTCCAGAGGAACGGCCAGATTAGTTTTGTCAACGACACTAGATTTGTTTTTCTTTATATGTGTACAACAACGACATAACAATTTCTGAAGCTCTTCATTTGATACCCTGTCAGTTATGTACGATGCGTGATACCTGCTTAGGCGATCATGTATTTTTAAATACATGACTGACGAGGCAGATATTTTTCCCACAGCAGGTTGCCATTTCTTTCTGCAGCAAACCAGTTGCCAACCAATGCTATAAATCCCGGTCTATCCTGCTATTTACCCATAGCTGGAGGGAGAAGAGGATTCATACCTTTCCCAATGGTATTAGCACGTAAGGAGGGATAAGATCTACATTGTTAAGATCTACAAAGGCGAGGATATTATGGAGTGCCATGATCGTCATCTTTCTGAATGGACACGACAAAGAGAAGAAGATTGTAGTAAATGTAGTTAGGGTAATAAGTCATAATTGATCAAGTTTTTCTAGTATACTTAATGTTTTCTGCTTGGTGGGGGTAAGGGATGTTGTGGAGAGTCATGATCCTCAATGTCTGAAGGGACACGGTAAAGAGCAGAAGAAGACGAATAGTCAGTCAGTCAGTTATGTGCCATGCATCATACAGGCTTATCGATATATGACTGACGAGGCAGATTTTTTTCCTGCAGTAGGTTGCCATTTCTTTCTGTGGTAGACCAGTTGCCATCCAAGGCTATAGAAGGCTATAGGAAGGGCATTGGTAAGATCTACAAAGGATAGGATGTTGTGGAGAGCCATGTTCCTTAACTTTCTGAAAGGACACAACAGAGAGCGAATGTAGTAAGGATCATGAATCATCATTTATTTATAGAGTCTTGTATTTTTAATATTTTCCGTTGGAAAAAAGAATTGGTAAGATCTGCAAAGATAGGATGTTGTGGAGAGCCATGATCCTCAACATCTGAAGGGACACGGTAGAGAGCAGAAGAGGAGGAATAGTCAGTCAGTCAGTTATGTGCCATGCGTGATACACGCTTAGGCGATCATGTATATATCGATATATGACTGACGAGGCAGTTTTTTTTGATCATAGGTTGCCATTTCTTTTTTTGCGGTGAGACTATTAAAATTTATCAAAGGCTATAAAACCCAGTCTAACCATACCAATTGGGGAGAAATTTTTCATACCTTTCCCAAGGGTATTATCATGTAAGTGAATGTAATGGATTTGATTGGAATTTGAGCTCGGCTCTCTGTTTTCTCAATCCAAGCCACCATCCACTACTCCAAGAGTTGGCAATGTTGACATTTTGAATTTTTTTTGAGCCTGATTACCAATGACTCTATTTTTAACATGTATACATTCACGAGAAATTTTCGCTACACTTCCAATCTTTGAATTTCAACATACAAATGCATATGTATAGACACAACACCACCATATACATACATATGTCAAATCCGAAACTGTCCACATATGTTTATATATGTATGAGTCCCGAAGTATAGGTGTGTATGTGTGTGTTTCTGCGTACCTCATCGGGTGTATTGGACATGCATCTATGTTTGCGTTAGCACAATGACATCCATAAATGACGATTCCCCACTCCCATAATAACACCAATACACCAATCTACATAAACCCAAATTTAAAAAAAAATTAATCAGTTTGTCTGACGATCGCAAAAGCGTGAAACCCAGGGTCACAAACTCACATCAATCCAACTAAATATATATATATATATTTGTTATTGAAGCTAATAATATTGTCCTCTTTTTTTATGTTGCCATATTTTGTATGTTTTTCTATTTGTATTGTGGATGAGATAATAATAATTTCTATGCACATTTGTTCTTCTTTGATAGATAGATATTGTTAAATTAATTGTTCTATAAGATATAGGCTTCCCTAACCATTACACCACTTATAAGAAATTTAAAGTGATTTTCTAAGTGTAGTTTAGATGTGACACAAGGTCAAAATTATGGTGCAAATCAAAATCACTACTCAGTCATAGTTGTTTATTTGAGGCAAAATTTGTTAACCATTACACTACGTTGAAGTGCCCAAAAATAATTTTCTAAGCATAGCTTAGATATGGCCCAAGTTCAAAAATACGAGGCACTCAGTGAGGAACAAACTCACTACTCAGTCATAATGTGATCTAGCAAGACAAGTTTGCTAACCATTACACAATGTTGAAGAAACAAAATATAAAATTAGTTTATGAAGCAGTAATAAACATTTGCCAAATTATTTTGTATGCATTTGAATATTTTCTATATATATATATATATATATATATATATATATATATTTGATCTTAATATTTATTCCAACTTAATTTCAATAAAAACAAATTAAATAAAATAACATATGTATTTTTTTTTTTTTCCTCAGTAATTTTATAATTTTAAACATAATATAGTTTAAATTTAAATTTTAAAATGGAAATTTTTAATTTCTAAATTCAAGTTTTGTTATAATTTAATATTTATTAGTTAGAATAAATTCTATTCTAGTATAAACCCAAACATTAAGGCATTAAATAATTATTATAAATTAGTTCGTTGTCAAGTTTTTTTGAATTCTCATATTTTTGTATTTTTGATTGGTCATTCCAGCTTATGTAACAGTGTTTCCCCTAGCGAGGGGTGTTTGATTGATTTGAACCTTTTAAAACCTTTTTTATTCTACATTCAACATCATTATCACTTGATAAGACACCAGAAGTGTTGAAACAAAATGGCTATTTTTGTAGTGATTTTATAACATATTTGTTATAATTTTCGAATAAATAATTATATATATATATATATATATATATATATATATATATAAATATAAAAAAAAAACAGTAAGATATATAATCATAGTTTTCTTTTAAATATTTTTATTACAAAATAGTGTTCAATGTAAATTTACAATATACATTAAAATTTATAATTAATTGATTTAAAATATGTTTTTTTACTCCACAATTTTAACCATTTTAAAAATGCTTCCTTAAAATCAATTTAATTTTTAATTTTTAAAACATTAGTTCTTTTTCATCATCAAACGGATTTTGGCAATAAATTTTAAAATTACTGGGTTTTAAACACAATTATAAATTTTGCTGTGTTTTAAAAATGAAAGTAATTTTAAGAAATTATCCAAATAATTTCTTGAAGGATGAAATAGATTTTAATATCTTTTTTTTAATTTTTAAAATTTAAAATTTTTTTTTTTTCCATTTTGAAACATGGTTAGAACTGTGAAACGAAAAAAAAATATTTTTTAAATCTAGAAATAATTTCAAATAATATATATATATGTTTATATGTTGAAAAATAATTTTAAATTTTTTTTTTGTGGTGCTATACTTTGTATGTGGTTTTCTTTGTATTGTAGATGGAATAATAAGGATATTGGAGGTTTATTATTCTATGTATATTTCTTCTTCGATAGATTGATATTGTTTAAAATATCAAACATATTAACAGAAACAAATACAAATTTGAACTTCAATTATTATTTACAAATAATAACATTTTCTATATCAGTTACTTATATTTTGAATGAAAGTGTTTTAATAAAAAAGAAAGGCATGCCCTGTTATCACAGTTTTCAACAGTAGCATTCATTTGTTATCTCCCTTTGGACTCAAAAGCGGCACTGAAGAATTATCTATCAAACAAAAAAAAAATTTCATCGAATTCAGGTGAAAACTATAGAAATGCATAAACATCTGATAACACACACACACTTAAACTTCATTCAGATTTAAAATCATTCCAAGTTATTGGGACACCCTATATATAAATTAATAACATGTTGCTTATATTTTCATTATTTATTTTATGATCATTTTTTATGCAGAAATAGGTATGAAATTTTAATATTCATGATTACCGTTTTTTGAAAAGGTTAAAAAAACATGCATTTTTTGTAAACAGTTAGAAAAATATCATAGGTAAATTTTTATAAAATCAAAAAAAATATATATATAGACCCTATATATATATATATTCTTGCTTTAATTTTATTTTTTGTGTGAAAAACCAGAAAAGGCATTAAATGATAAATATGACTGAAATACATTTGCTATCTAAGATGCATTTTTTTTTTTTCAATTTTTTATTTGCTATGGACACCATCTTTTTGAAGACTTTTTTCATGATGAAACTTCTTAAAATATCCTTTCCTGAACTGGACCCCATCTGGACATCTGGACGTCGATGTATCATCACAGATTCTCATCTTTTGAGCAGATCCATGAAAATTTAAAAGTGAAATACTCCAATGATTCATTATTATAATTTTTTAAAATTTAA